TTGGACTCATAGTGAGGGAATGGAGCCCTGTCTGTTCCCTTTGCCACACTAGCAAACCACACATTTAGTACAACTTTCATTATTCTCTTAGTGTGCTGGAGGTCAGAAGCCTGACTGAGGCAGCCTTCCACCCGGAGGCACTGGGAAGAGTCCCTCTGCCTTTCCAGCCTCCCACAACTCCAAATGGTGTTGTGTTCATGTATCGACTCCTACTGTAACTCTGGACCTCCTCAGATAATCCTAGTCAGCTCTTCTCCTCCCGATTGGGGCTGAAACCCTCGGCAAAGCCCCAGAACCATGGTTATAACATTTTGTCAGGTCCTGGAGACCAGCTGTCCAGATCTTAGGAGGCCATTCTTCTGCCCACGAGGACAAGGCCAACCATGGGCTTTGTGGTTTCTGAGGTTTGGCAGTTTAACCTGGAGTATGAAAGTCACTGTGCAGGCAAAGCTGCCCTGCTTCCTCTGTTCCTCTGTGGGTTGGGAGTGGCCTCTTAGAATCTCTTCTTATTGGTAAGATGTTCGTACTTCATGGAAAGGGCCCAGCTGTTATGGGAAATGGCTTACTCCAGCACTGGCCTCAGGGGACAGCACACGCTCTTAAGCATTCACAGTTATCCCTGTGTTTAATAGAAACAAACAAAAAAACTTTGTCTCTTAGAGGGGACACTTGGTGCGGCCTCTGCAGTCTTGTGGCTCCATTGGACTGTACTCTGTGAGGTTATGATGCTGGACTTCTAGTGCAGTGGACAAGTTCTTATTTAAAGGGGAAAGGGGACCTCGAAGACACCAGTCTAATGCTCTATAGACATTAACTGATTTTGTCCTTTCAAAAAGCTAAAGAGACTGGTGAGAAAAAGTGATGTTGCTGGCTGGTGTCCTGGGGTCCCCTCTCCCCTTCAGCCATTTCACTGGTCAGAGTATTTCCTTTCCTGGAGTCTCATTTTCCCTGTCTGTGTGGTGAACTCATTTGTAAGATCCTGTGTGGTTCTTTGGCAATACTCCTACAAAGTAGCCATTCTGTTAAGTGGTTTGTGTTGGTGACAATTTAGTCAAAATGTTGCTCGTTCTTAACACATTGGAGGGCATAGTTTGTTGATAAGAGCCGCACTTCTGTGAAAGCTACATTTAAATTTTTGTGTATTTGTATTAAGCATAAAGGAGAAAGAATGCTCCAGAGAACAATTAGGTATCCTGTGTCCCCTGGGGAACATCACAGTCCACTCCAGCCTGGGGGATCCCACAGTGAGGGCAGGTAGGAAGCATCATCTGTACAGTCCGGTGTAGAGCATGGGCGGTGCCTGCCCTTCAAGCTGGAGGTTGGTGCCCAGAGTCCCTGAGGAGTCACATGTCCAGCCAGCCTTGGCCAGACCTCCAGTGTGAGCCTCCCTGGAAGGCCTGTGTGTCTTTGAAAGCTCTCCACATGATGTACCCTGTGGTTTAGAGCCTCTGTCTTTGCCGCTGCCTTTGTGGGATAAACTGAGCAGGGAGCCTTTGATGTGACGCGCCATCCTTGCTTTTGAGGGTCTCTGGACTTGGTGAGCCGCCCCTTCCCTCTTCAGCTTCTCATCTCTTACAGTAGTTATCGACTTTTTATTATGATTGTTTTGTTGTTGTTATTATTATTATTATTTGCCTAAGCAGTAGAGGTCCCTTAATAACCATCATCCCCAAACACAGACACTGAAGGCAGGTCAGATGGCCTTGTGATGCAGACAGGCTTCTGGGCCCAGGACCCATGTTCCTGACTCCCCTCCATTACAAAGCTTGCTGAGATGCCTTGGCTGATCTCTGCAGGCAAGCCTGGAAGCTTCCCTACATAAAACTGGAGTCTTTACTGTTTGTGGGTTATATAAACAATCCATGTTTCCACACACTGACACAGCCTTTGATGCCCATGTTAGCAATCCATGATCAACTACGGTCCAAAAATATTGAATAGAATATTTCAAAAGCAATAAAATAATTTGAGAGAGAACCCATTCACACAGCTTTTATTATCATGCATATTGCTCCATTGTCAGGTAGTGTTAACTTTTTGTTGTGCCTAATTTAATAATTAACTTTATTCTAAGTATATACATATAGAAAAAACATTATATATAGGGGTCTACACTATCTGTGGTTTCAGATATCCACTGTGGGGACTTCACCCCCTCAGATAAGGGGAGTGACTGTGTACTATATGTGTATGTCCCTGGATTTAACATGCACAATAGTATATTTGTTCTAATTTACACTTTGGGCCTGTCAGGCAAAGGCCAGCAGGGACAGAGCTGCTGTCCAATGGCGATGTACTTCCTGGCTCACTGTGGTAAGGTCACTACCAGGGGAGTCGTGTGGGGTCTAGCCAGGCAGGAAAATGACAGCTACCATAGCATTATGGAGACCAGTGGAGTTTAATGCTGCAGCATTATGATGGGCACAAACCATGACTGGGGAAAGAAGTTTGCACTGGGAAGTGGACTCAAATCCCTGTTTCCTTGGAAACCACAATGTTGAGAGGGACTCAGGATGCTGAGTCCAGAATGTCCCTAATATGAAGCCCTGTGCCTGGCCTGGGAACTCAGTGACTGTCAGCTAGGAAGTGGGGTCACCCAGACACTGTTGACACTTCGTAGCTAAGAGGAAAGAGGTTTCCTGTTGGCTCTGCACCTCCTTGTTTTGGGGTCTGCTGTCCCAGCCCATTTTATCAATAGCTAGATTTTATCCTCTCTCTTCCACCACCCACCCGCTTCAGACTTGGGTGCCTGACTGACATGTTCAGTTTTGATCCAGTGGTCAGGGATATGTTATTTGGGGGTTTTGATAGACGACAAATTACAGGGTGGCCTAGCATTTGCATCTGATGTTGTAAATGGTCCTAAGAATTTGTGTAACAAATAGTACAGAAAGCTACCATTAGAACTGATGTTAGAAATGGAAGAAAAAGAAACAGGCGTGTGAAAATTAATATTATGAAGCCTCTGTAATAACCGGATCCTTTGACCCCCCAACACCAGAGATTTCATCCAAGAAAATCAACAGATAGAGGGAAGAGAGCTCCAGACAAAGGCATGGTGTTATGTGTAATGTTGAGAAATAAACCAGAACAGCTCCAAAGGGTTACTATGGGTCCACAGTGAAGATCTGATGCTGCTAGAGGGTCTTCATGAAGCAAATGTAAATGAACATCCAGGAACAGGGTGGAAAGATTGTAAGAGACAAGATTGTAAGTGGATAGGGGTGGGAGTGGACCTGCTGAACGTGCCAATCAGCTGCTAAAGGAGGAATCAGTTTCCTTCAGGGTGAACCATCTGATAGGTTGCCCATGCCCAAGTGGTTAGCACTACACTCATGTACATACGGGTAACACTAATTGGACTCAGTATGTTTGTATATAACATATTATATATACATATAATTGTAGAATAGGTCATAAACTTGAGAGGGGGATGAAGAGGAGGACATGGGAGAGACTGAGGAGGAATGGATATATTCATGTATGAAATTCTAAAATAAAATTTAAAAGCTAGCCTATCAAATTATTTTTATACTTGAAAAGCTTTTCAGAAAATGGATTTCTGAAGACAGTAATAATTATTACAGAGAGACTGGGTTGTGGAAATTTTATTTCTTTGTTATTTGCATAATAAGCTTGTGGTTTTCAGCATACCATAAGCAAGTAGTAAAACATTACAGTGCCGTTCTGAAGTAAGCAATATGACTCAGAAATGAGTGAACAAATTCTAGAAAAAGTAATGATCGTGAACCAGAAGGGAAGGTGCCGTTTTTGCTCTGTGAGACTGTAAGGTGTGTTGCTTGTCTCCACGTTTCCGGTAAATTGAAGATGTTTTTTTAATCAGGCTGAAAGAATCTGCCTTCTTTTTCAGTTTTATAATCACTAACATTAGTTATCATTGTTTTTAGTTTTATGATATTCTGCATTGTCAGTTACTCTCAGTAGCAATGACATTTGTTAGACCAGAACACAGTAATGTTGGCATTCACTGCTTCACTCAAAGGCACGTGCTAATGGAGGCCGACACTGACATCAGGTGGCTTCCTCAGTCACTCTCCATCATATTTTTTGAGACAGTGTCCCTTACTGAACCTGGGCCTAACAGGTTTGGCTAGACTGACTGGCAGTGAGCTCTAGGGATCTGAACTTGGGCCCTCGTGTGTGGCAGGCAGTTTAGTGACTGAGCCAGCCCTCCAGCCCTTGTGACTTTAAAACTTTGTGTTTCTTTCTATCTTTC